GTCTATTAGAGTGTGTCCTTCTTTTCACTAGTTTTCTTTTAACACTTCTATAACAATATCAAGGGATTTCTTCTTTTTTCCTTTTATTTGTACCCCTGTGTGTATTCTCCTTTTAATATCTTTTGTTTTCTCATTCAATTAACACCTTAAAGTAGGGCCTGAGTTATCTATTTCTTATCCAACACAATCACAGTGTCTTGACAGGTTTCCCTCACTTATGAAGGGACTTGCCCCTCAAAAGTCATATCTAGCAGATGAGACACAGTATGTCAAATTAATGTCAAAAAAGCAGTGCTTCCTAATTCTCTAATTTAAACCAATTTGGACTTGATAATTTTAATAAAGCCAATCACTTTATTAAACAAATTGCAATCAATGTCATTCTCAAATTTTTGTTGTGTTGTTCTGAATATACTATTGACCTAAAAATTTCCAGGGGTGCGATTCTCTGGCACAATAAATTAAATAAACAGCTTTTAAATATATCTTCCTTTGACTCTTCTGTGTCTTGATATATATATAGAGTCACATACACGGGAAAAAAAAAAAAAAAGAGGAAAAAACCAACCAGAGTATTAATCTAGACTCTTTGTCCTTGTTCAGAGAGAAGAAATGGCTGGTCATGACTAATGTTATAGAACCTGTTCTCAAACAGAAGTAGCCAAATCATTGCAAACATGTGTTGGGTGAAAACAAGTTTGGTTGGCTCCAGACAAAGGCTTATTTTTTCAGCACAGATGGCTGAATGGTTGCCTCCTCCAAAGGGTTGCCCGCAAATGAAAGACAGATTTCTATTTCTAATCTATGCAAATATCTTACTCTGCAGGGCATCACAAAGACTAACTGTTTTGTGTCAGACACTGTAGATCCCAGGTGCTCTGAGAGATGCCAAAGCCCATCTCCACCTGAGATGCCTGGTAACTGGGATAACAGCGGATGACTGGAGAGTTAGTCATTAACCCGCTCCTAATGAATGCTGTTGGGGCCTTCTGTGAAACATTCCTCTGGAATCCTGCCCCACCACCACTGCTTCCCCTTGGCTGAGCTGCCTGGAAGGCAGTTTCAATATTCAGTTCGGACCTCAGATGCTGCTAAAACCTCCCAAGAAGGTTGAGATTCCCAAAGCCTCTTAAGGACTGTAGCATTTTTCACCTCGTGTTCAGCTCATCTGTCCATCTCCAACACCACATAGAGAAAACTCAAGCATTTAAAAATATTATTCTGTCCAAACCAGATCTCCTTTATTCTCTAGTCCATAAGCCTACAACCCATTGGCATGTCTTGCTGAATCACACCTGATTGTTGTCGGTGGCCCTCAACCTTCCCAAATAGAGGTAATTCCTTTTTTTCTTTTCTTCCTAACAACTTTTCTTTTATTTCTTACATTTTTTTTCTCATGTTCCTCCATCTTCCCAGCTTAAATCTGTTACTCACTCTGACACCCCTTGGCACATTCCAGTTTTAGGGCCCCTTGGAGGCAACAAAAATTTCTGTAATGCTGCAAACATATACACACACTCACGCACAGACAAAATGCTGCATGCTAATCCAACTCCTAACTTTCAGCATTCTTTGCCATAAAGAGTTGGTTAGACTTGAAATCTATATAATCTAGTTCCAGTGCTTAAATCTAAAAATATCTTTCAAAGTTTAAAATTTTTTGTTAGTTTTTCTGATCAAATGTCAGCAGCACAGTTTGCTTCAAAATCCTGTGTTGGAAAACACTTCTTTTCCTCCTCATTAACCTTCATCTGAAATAAACCAGGCTAACTAAGCAAAAAGAAATTCTAAAGGAAAAAGAAAAGTCCTTCCTAAATCCCACACTTAATAACCACCACTACCAGAACTTTTTACTCTCTACGTCCCTCTTTGAAATTTAAATACCTTTTGTTTTAGTCTATGAATGCAAATATTGACAGTCAAACAATGCAGCATTAAGTTTATTTCCCTGGAAAATCTAAAACTGTAAAGAGTTTTAGAGGTTAACTGATTCATTGATTCCTGAGGCTGGGTGAGTGTCAGAAACACCGGAGGATACTATTCATTTTAAACAATAACATCCTCTTGATATTCAGCCCTAGATATTACAACCAGACTTCTGGTACGGCTCTAGAATCATATTTATAATAAGTGCTCCAGGTAACTATGATATAGCAGGCCCTGGTCTTTTGAGAACCACTGATCTATTCCAACATCCTACCCAATATGGTGGTTCCCTCTACAGGATACCACATAGGCTACCTAGTCCACACAACAACTTTCACCGAGACCAGTGCTCTCACCCTTTTGTAAGTCTTGTTCCCTTTTTAGATGGCTTAGTTAGTAGAAACTGTATTCCTACATTGAGCCAAACAGTCAAAGTTCTTTGGCTCCTTGGACTTCACTTACTTAGACCCTAATTTCGTGCTCCAGAGCTGACAAAGAATTCGCCATCCTACAAGAGTCTGTGAATATCTAAAGGCAGCTACTACTGTGCCCTTGTAAGACTTAATTTTTCTAAGCTTAAACAACCTTTCTCTTTTAACTTCATAAAGCATAATTTCTGAGTCCCTCTATTTCAACTGCTCTTTCTCACCAATAGGCCTTACAGGATAGGTCTGTCAAGACTAATAATACTTCACTTTTCTTACAGATGGAACTTTTTTCAATATGCACTAATTTCCAGTCCATGTTTCATCCTCATCACTCATTATCTTGCACTTAATGGCCAAGAGCCAAGAATCAGCAAGTATTTATTAACTTAATGCTGTGTTCCTAGCACCGTGTAAAGTACTCAAGGAGGATGCAAAAGCCAACGGAAATCATCACATTTTGAGGAGTTAATAATTTCTTGTACAGGAAGAACTTAGATATGTGAATTAACTTGAAAACAGGGAACAATGGTATGCAACAAACAGAGTGCTCTAAATGTCTATCACATGAAAGACTGAACACTAGGTTTTTTGGATCAGGCTGTAAGCTAACTCACGGCCTCTGTTTGCAATTACGCCATGTATTTACAATAGCTTTTGATTTTTCTTTTTAAAAAGGAAAGCAAGTGAAAAAAAGAAGACACAAGGTGGCTCATGCCTGTCATCCCAGCACTTTGGGAGGCCAAGGTAGAAGGATCACCTGAGGCCAGGAGTTCAAGCCAGCCTGGGAAATACAGCGAGACTTCATCTCTACGAAATTAGAAAAAAATTGAGCCAGGCTTGGTGGCACATGCCTGTAGTCCCAGCTACTCAGGAGGCTGAGGCAGGCAGATTGCGGGGGCCTGGGAGTTTGTGGCTGCAGTGAACCATGATTGGGCCACTGCACTCCAGTATGGGTGACAGAGCAAGACACTGTCTCAAAATAAATAAGTAAATAAAAACAAATAAGCCAAATTAAAGAAAGAAAGCAGAGGCCGGGCGCAATGGCTCACGCCTGCCATCCCAGCACTTTGGGAGGCCAAGGTGGGCAGATCATTTGAGGTCAGGAGTTCAAGACCAGCCTGGTCAACATGGTGAAACCCTATCTCTACTATAAATACAAAAATTAGCTGGGTGTGGTGGCAAGCGCCTGTAATCCCAGTCACTCGGGAGGCTGAGGCACAAGAATCGCTTGAACCTGGGAGGCGGAGGCTGCAGTAAGCCAAGATCATGCCACTGCACTTCAGCCTAGGTGACAGAGCAAGACTCTGTCTCAAATTTAAAAAAAAAAAAAAAAAAGCAGGATATTGCCTTAAAATACACTTAAAATTTTCAAGTGCATCCTTGTATCAGAAATTTAAATTCTAAAAAATACACAAAAATCAGGTAGAATACTCTTCCTTCTTCAAAGCATGTCCCCGCATTGCTTCCCAAGCATTCAGAATGACAAGGTCTGGGTAAAAGGCAAAAAGCAAAGGGTTTATGTGATTCCTTTTCCTACAAGAAATATCCATTTGATGAGGAGACTTCCCAGGTATTTTAATGGAAAACTCTTACCAATAAATCAACTATACTAACACACAAAAAAATGCACTTATTCCACTCACTGAACATGCTTTATCAACTTACACAAATCCCTCACTTTACAGATGAGAGGGGAAAACATCATTTCAAAGGCAGCACGCGATTTCTCCAAGCTAAAGCAGACACTGAGTAGCTGGGTGGGAACAATACCTGGTTCTCCCCTCTACTGCTGGCTTCTTGTCTCCTCCTATTTAGTAGGGACCACCATCAAAACTCTTGCTCTCGCAACATTTTCCTCCTTAACTTTACTCCCACTTTCAGTTACCTTTCCAATCTTCAAATTCGAAGTCTGATACTACATTTTGTTTTGGGATACTTTTAGGAAAAGGGTGGACAAAACAGAATTCATTTTTTTTTTCCTTTTCTTTTTTTTTTCTTTTCTTTTTTTTTTTTTTTTTTTGAGACAGGGTCTCACTCTGTTGCCCAGGCTGGAGTACAGTGGCATGATCACGGTTCACTGCAGCCTTGAACTTTTGGGCTCAAGTGATCTTCCAACCTCAGTGTCCTGAGGAGCTGGAACCAAAAGCACAAGACACCATGCCCAGCTAATTTTTATACTTTTTTCTTTTTGTAGAGACAGGGTCTCGCTATGCTGCCCAGGCTGGTCTCGAACTCTTGGCCTCAAGCTATGCTCCCACCTCAGCTTCCCAAAGTGTTGAGATTACAGGCATGAGCCACCACGCCTGGCCAGGTGATTACCTTTTTATTAAATTCTTGCATGCCTATTTTACTCACAGTCTCCAATGAGTATTTCCATGCTGTTAGAGACGAAATTCTGCCTGGCTCAGGATCCCTACTGCCTTACCAGCATTACAGAAAACAGCTGGAGTTAGCTACATGGATTCAACCAAAACTCTAAAGCTGCAAGGCAATGAGTAAACAACCCCCAACTATTTTAACCTCTCCCCCACCACACACCCGCACCCACACCCACACACCCCTAAATCAACCAGCTCATCTACTTCATTGGAAGCTTCACAGTTAGTCAACACCCTTATATGGCACACAGGGGGAAAATGCACCTACCTTGTGGCCTCTTGCTGAAGCCATGACACATTTGGCACATAGAACATGACTCCAAAGAAAAGCAGAGGCTCATTAGCGAATTTGTCCAGATGTTTCTTCAGAGGTTTTTCCAGCTCCACCCATCGTGCTTGCTGGCTCTTGCTGAGAAACCAAAGGCCAAAGTAGTGTGTCTAGATAAAAGGGTAAAACAGCATCAGTTCATGCTCACCACAAGCATCCCAAGGCCACACACGAAACGAGACTCCAGCATGCTGCATCCCACCTTGGGTTCCCCAGCCCCTATACAAGATCCAGCTTTGACATCTGACTTTGGGACAAATTTAAAAAGACCACAACCACACACTACTGTAACGTACATGGAGTATCCAGATGCATTATCCCTACTCATTACTACTGTTTGTGCTTGTCGATACCAATGGGCCCGTGTGAGGTAAAGGAGAGTCACGCAGGGAAGGGACAGTGCTGACTTTTCCCCTGATATCTGAAGACTGCCTTTTCTGTGTGCCTTCTGCATGCTTCATGATCTCACATGGAGCACACTGGCAAAGACCAACACCGCTCTTGCACCTGCTGCAACGTAACTTATTACTCAGTTCCTAAGACAAAACCGCCTGCCAACTGAAAGCTTCTGCACTGTAGAATATTTTCATACAGTACCAGATTTTAACCGAGAATTTATTCACTCTTTTCGTGTGCTTTAAAAAGTATCATCCTCTTCCACTTTATTATACACGAACTGCAGCAAATCTCTCCCCATATCAAGCTTTGAGAGAGGAAGGATCGCCTCTTCACAGCTGCCGCAGGAGCCCCTGGTGGCTGCTCTTGGCAGATTATGGTGGGATTTGTTAGATGAAAGTGAGATTTTCACCCTTAGACTTGAAGCCTAAACCAGTTTGGTTTTGAACAACATGCTAAATGATTAAAACAGGTACTTTTATGCACCCAATCCCATCTTTTATATTAATTCATGCTAGGATTTCAGGATTAGCACAACAATCACCAAAAAATAGATCACTGCTTTTGAAGATTCTTTTATATTTCAATTATAGCCTAGAATGGTTTACAGCACACCTGGAAACCTGCCTTCAAAAGAATGTTTTCATTACAATGTTTGATTTCCAAAGGCATTCTTATGCCGATGTTCCCACTCCAGCTGGCTGCCACCTCAGCATTACCACAGATCAATCCTGCCATAGCTCCACCAAAATCTCTCATGAAGTTTTGACTCTGACTTTACCAGAAAACCAGACGTGCCCTTGCCTACATAAAGCTGCAGACCCAGATGCTTTAAAGATATTTTAAATGGATTTACTTTGAGATGGGGGTAATGATTTGATCAGCTTTCCCCCACGATGTTCCAAAGGACAAGTTCACATCAGAAATCTATGCATTTCTTGCGCAACAAAATGTCAACAACCAGAGCCAAGGTTGTATTTCCATCAACTGAGACAAACTTACTTGGATGAATTCTGACCCTATTATTCATTTCCTAGCTCCAGTGAGTCCATTAGCTGTTCCAACCAGAGTGATGAGATAGAGGAAATGAAATGTGGCTGAACAGAAAGAAAACAGACTTTGAAGTCAGTCCATCTCCCACCTTTTGCACTGTCTCAGTAACTTTACACAAGTCATTGAAATGCCTTCTAGACTCTCACAGTTTTCTCCTCTGTAAAATGGGGATGATGGTTACAACTTTCACCCACAGGCTCTGAGAAGTATAAATGAGATCATGCCTGTCGATTACCTGCATGGCACTCGGTAAGTAACTAATTCACAAGTGGTACCTTCCATTGCTGCTGCGGCTGCAGGACTACTACCCCTGTTACCACCATCCGCACCACTGCCACCGCCATCATCATCAGTAAATGAAAGCAGGTAAACCTCATGAATCTTTTTCATCAGCACTACTGACATCTCCGTGAACCACAGAATTAGGAAACAGAGGTTATCTGGGAGTCAATGAGAAAAAGCAGGCAAAGGTAGACGCGGGAACATCTATGAATAACGTAAATATTTAAAAGATGTAAGGAAATAAAAATCACAAAGCTATACCTCCACTAAGACTTTGAGGCTCTCATGATAGGTGCTAATGGGACACTGGAACATCACTCTGACGCTATCCTCTGAGATCTATGATGTAGGCTTAAGCTACCCTAAACGTGAAGTCATTTGGGTACTCAGTTCAAGACATTTATCTGAAAAGGGTCCAAAGTAGTTCTGCATTATACTGAATTCCTGTACGGAATACAGGGCTGTATGAGGGTATTCCATGGCATTTTGGATGCCTAGGAGTGAGTCTCCATACAATAAATTAGGTAATATGTGTAATTAACATGATATACAGCAATTATTAAAGCTGGAAAAGAGCCCTTTTTATAGCATGAGTGGAGAAACAGGGCAAGCTTCACAATTGCTTAACAGGCTAACTATGATTTATCATCTTTCACTAAAAGCAGTTGTGACATTTGGGAGATATTTTTATAGTCCACACTTCATTCAAATTAGTAATATTCAAATTATAGAGGGCCACAGTAACTGCATGTTATACAATCGATTTTGAAAAACAGTTAAAATTTTTATTTTGTCTATCTATGCCTCGAAAGCTATTTTAAATTTCCTTTTCTCATTCCTATCCATCCAGATCATTAAACCAGACCTGACCTCCACCCCAGAAAACCCTCAGAGAAAGAATATTCCATGGAGTACACACACACGAACATGTATGTGCACACACACAACACACACAAAATGCACACTGCAGCTGCACATACACATACTCCTGTGCATACACACATACGGGTATGTTGAGAAGGAGGATGACGAGGTACAAGAGAAACGATAGTAAGGCAATAATCTTGAGCCAGAGCTCTAAATAACAAAGTAAACCACTTCTAATGGAAAAACCTAATTCATGGCATAAATTCATCACTGCTGTGGTACAGCACCTTTCAGAGGACACAGAATATTTCAGAGTGACTCACCAGGTAATTACCCAGTGAAATAATTACATAACTACTGAAGAAATGGGGTGTCCAGTGCAGGGCAGAATTGGGGGAGACAGGTAATCTGAAGGACAGAGTTTGTACATACTCACAGCCAGAACATCCTAACTTTAAAACTGTCAAATTTGGTCCTCTAACAAGAAGAAAAGTCCATTTCTGAGATCCCCATCCCCACTCTAACTTTTGAAGCTATGCCCAAAGTAACTTTTTGCATTCCCACCCTTCTCCTCCCGTTCTTCCTCTAGCTATCTGCCTACTCTGGAGTAGAAAGACCCTGCCTCAAAAGTACAATACAGCACACGTTTATTCTCCCACATCTACACAGTGCCTCACAGGAAATGGAATCAGAGCCTAGGCTCTCATTTCAACTAGCATGTGCACCAATCAACTTCCTGTGTATTATCCAAGGAACTACTAATCCTGTCAAGCCCAGCTGAGACCCCACCAGGCTGGTTCGTGGTTCACTTGCCAGTTTAAACTCTAGCTCAATTTTGAAAGCTGAGCTTAGCTGCTAAACATTGCCACATGGTTGAAGAAAGCATGGTGGATGATTGCAAACAGAAACCACCTTCTCCATGACTCAAAGAGGATCCCACCATATTACCTGAGTAAATGCCTGAAATATGTGTTCTGTTTATATCTCAGGCACCAAAAGTAAGCCAGGCTCGTTTAATCCTCATGATACCTCCTCTGGGAGAGGTATGAATCCCCATTTTATTGCTCTAGTTTTCTTAAGAAAACTAGAACACACAGCTCTGGTGCCATGAGTTCTGCAATAAGTTTACTGCAATGATGAGAAAAGAAGACAGAAGAACCAGTCCTCAGGGACAGGAACCACATCTCTGAACCAGTTGCAAAAAATGCACTACAATGAAACCAAGTAAAGCCGCACTAAAATGTCATTTTTATGTGAGCAGCTTCCTCATTTATTTGGTTTGGGGAATTGCATTTTAACACAGGAAACATACATTTAAGTACATACTAAAAAATCGGCTAGTTTCTTCAGTGGTAGATTGGTGTGTGGATACTATAGTGTCAAAATGTCCATCTTTTGGTATTACGGAAAGATTCTGAGACTAAGGGCCCTTAAAAGTAGTTTTGGGGACAGGGGGCATATGGGAACTCTCTATACCTTCTGCTCAACCTTGCTGTGAACCTAAAACTGCTCTAAAGAAAGAAAGTCTATTAAAAAATACTTTGGGATACTTTTGATTTGCTTGTTCATTTATTTGTATAGAGATGGTATAATCCCCCACATTAGTTATTAAAAGGGAAATATTTTTTGAGGGTTTTGTTTTTCCAGTTTTGTGACCAATGGCACAGACTTTAATGCTATTTTTAAGAGGTTTAGATGCAGTCTTGGCAATTACCAAGGATTAAAGCCATGATCTTATCTCAAGCATTTTGAAGAGTTACTCATCCAGAAGCAAAAGTTTAAAGTATCTTGCATTAAGTTTTAATAGGTTGCCTATCTTACCCAGTATTTCAGCTGTAAGTTAAGAAACAGTTGGTGTACTTCCACATAAAATATATGAATTACATATCATACAAGCACGAACAGTTTCACTGAGGCATGGAAAATACTTCAAAAGATGACTATAAGCAGACTCTGAAATGGCACTTCATGCAATTACATTCCAATGGCTTTGGAAAATAAGCCACCGTACCTCAGCTGGATAACGGTGGAAAAGAACTTGTGCTTAATCAACCTCTACTCTGGGTAGGTCTGAGATTTCTATAACTGACACATCTATAATTAACAACTGCACCCTCTTCATTTTCCTAGCCAATCTCTTTGTAAAAGTGTAGGAAAAGAAACTGCAGAATAACACAGACCCAAGAAGAGAGTCCCATAGCCAAGAAAAACCACTCTTCTGAGACTGCACAACTCACCTAAAATACACAAAAAGATGAAGACATACAAGTTAAGACTGGCGAATAGTTCACGTACAATCTCTATACCTAGAAAATGGAGATGCCAGTGCCATTACATTCTAGGGCTGACATTAAGCTAATAATGTTTCACACTGTCTTTTTTACAAAGACAAAAAGCAATACAAAACTTAAACATGAGAAATCTCCCCCAGCAGTCTACTCTTCAGTTGATTCTTAATCAGTATTGATTAGTTTAATCCTTTGCAAATACACATATATACTGATGTGATTAA